TATTTAAAAAACAGTGTGTAAGCTTCGCTTAGGCGCTCAGTGTCCTCCTGCAGGTTCAAACCATTTGCCTGTCTTTTTATATAGATCATCTTTGACACCAGTCTCTTCTCCAGATAACGCTCCTCATCCAAAACCTCAACATTTTCCCAATCGAATTCGTGGTTTAGCAATCTATGATCTGTGATCACTGACTTTTGGGAAGTATTTCTGGTAATGTTTTTTTATGTTCACCAACACGCGTTTTCAAAAGTCTCCCCGTCTGACCCACGTAAGACGCATCGCAATCGTTACATTTAATCTTATATACAACATTCTTACACAAATCACTAGAAACTTTGACTTTTTGTATAATTTATTTAATGTAACGACTGAGCTTATTGATCCCTGTATAAGACATTTTTGTATTTAGATCCTGGGTCGCTTGTTTGAAATGAAATGAAATGTCCGATATATAAGGTATGTTAAAAAATGAGCTCGCTTCATTGTCCATTGTATTATTTTTGTCAACCGCAAATATTGTGTTGTAATATTAGTAAGATTAATTATTTTGTCAAGTCTATAATGAGAAACCTAAACCATCGATAAGTGTTAGGTTGAATGTGGATAAATTGAACAAAGTAATAACAAGAACCCATTATTCACATACTATCTTTGAGCCTTCCTCTCTTTCTTCGTTATATGAAATCGAGTTAGATCCTTCAAAATTTAATGTTCCAACAAATCCGCTTAAAGAAATAAAAAATAAGTGGTTTGTTAACATCTCGTCCTTTGACATTCCACATGATGTACATGTTTTTTACAACTGGGAGAGAATTTTAGTCTACCCATTATTAATAAAAATAACGCGGTTATAGATCTAATAAAAAATGTAGCTTATTTATCAAAACAGATTTTGTTTAATAACTGCTTTCCTAAACGTGTAATTGATCGTTGGGTTAATAAAAGGTTAAATTTTTTAAAACATAACAAAAACATAAATGAATCGAGTAATGAGCGAAATATTGTTGATAAGTCTCCTTTCATTTCACTACCTTATGTTAATAGCTTAGGCGATATCGATTGAATTTTTAAAAATATTTGATTTAATGTTGTTCATAATGTTCCTAAAAAACCGAATCACTTAATTACACTCGGCAAGGATAGACTGCCTACAGATAAAAAGACTGAAGTAGTTTACAAAATTAATTGTAATGATTGCAACGTGTCATACATCGGACAAACAAAGAGACATCTATGCACACGTGTAAAGGAACATTTCAGCAACATCAAAATGCATTCGAGTAATTTATCAGTTATCAGCAAACAAAATTGAATTCGATCACGATTTTGACTGGACTTCGCCTGTTATTTTGCATAGTGAAAAACACGTAAGAAAAAGAGAAATTGCTGAAATGTGTTTTATTAAGAAAAATAATAAACGCTATTAATTTACAAAAGGATACCGACAATCTAAGTAATATCTACGACAAAATAATAAAAATAAGAACGTAGATATTTGATTAAAAAAATAATAAAGGTCGTTTAGTCTCCAATAACTCGTCTAAGAGTCTTGACGTGTTGTCAAACCGACACTATGTTCGTTCTTGACATCTTAAAATTATAATTTTATTTTTATTTTTACAAATATGTTTCGCTTCTTTTTATCATTTTGTAATATTGTTAGTGAAGTAATTTTGTTTTTTATTGTATTAATCTTTGTCTATGTATATCTAGATCACTTGATAAGGACTCAAAGAAGGGTCGAAACGTTGTGATTGAATAAATAATATTTGTCAGTACGGTCGAGAGAATTCTTACCTTTTTTAAATTCTGTCTGGCGATTCTCAAATATCTACGTTCTTATTAAGATATTTGTTTAGTTGGTTAATTATAATTTGGCTCTTATTAGCCGTTTGATACTTTTAATAAAATACTAAATTAATTAACAAAGTGCCGTGTCGTGTTTTTATAATTAATCTGAAATTAACGCAATACATACAGTAAAAGTTAGTATATTTAATTTTCAAGAAAGTATAATTTTAAGCATTGAAGGAAAACTATCAGAAATATTCATCTATTTTTCTTCTAGTTTTTCTGCTTAATTCACTGTGCGTAATTTTTAGCTCTTTGTATATCATATATCTCTTTAGTAATTATTATTTTTATATGGTAATTGAGTTAATGTATATGTATGTATACTTTAGATTTTATTTAGACTTTTTTAATTTGAAGAATAAAATCGAGATTATAAATTTATAAAATATCTGATGGATATACGTTTGAACTGTCGCTATTTTTAACATTCCTTAATTTAATTATTAATGATTTCCTTGATGCGCACTATGTGAGAGACGAACAACTGTAAACCGGAAAATTTTGCGTAAAATTCCACAGCTTCTATATTAGCAAACGTATTATTATCTATAAATTGAGGTAAAACATGCATAAGATCTTTCTGATATCCGCATTTGATTGCTTTCCAAGATAAATTTTTTGTATTATACATTTGCATATTCTGGTATTATAATATATACAGAGTGTCCCATTTTAATCTTCCCGGGCAAATATTTCGAAAAATATGGACGATACAGAAAAATGTGTCAAATAAAAGTTGTTTAACTCAAAGGGGAACATAAGATAGTGCCACTGATTTGACCTTGTAAAGTTATTTGAAAATCACGTGAAGGTCAACTTCAATTTCTTAAATGGAACTACCTATTTTTCATTGCATATTCTTATAGATTATCTCAAGAGCTTTCCAAAACCCTATAATAAAGTATTTTTTATGGAGTACTTTTTGAGTTATAAAGGTTTAAAGTTAACAATTTTTTGACATAAAATATAAAATATGTTGTAAAATATTCAGTTTTCTGTAATTATACCTTAATATTTTTATGCACGAGAGAAGACTAATCAATTGGTGTACAAAAACACATAGTTATTTAAAAAAAAAGATGCAGCTGCATGTTGAATATTACATATTTTTTTAAACAATTATCTATTTTTTTTATACCGGTTAATTGGTCTCATTATTCTGTGCAAAAAGTATTAAGTAAGATATAATTACCAAAAACTGAATATTTTACAAGACATTTTACAATTTATATCAAAAAACTATTAACTTCAAACTTTATAACTCAAAAAGTATTTAATGAAAAATAACTTTGTTACAGGGTTTTGTAAAGCTATCATGATAAGCTATAAGAATATGCAATGAAAAATAGATAGCTCTATTTAAAAAATTAAAGTTGACCTTCAAATTATTCTTTAAGATTATATCGATGGCACTATTTTATGTCCCCCTTTGAATCAAACAACTTTTATTTGAAACATTTTTCAGTATCTTCCATATTTTTTGAAATATTTGCCTATGGGATACCCCGTATATAAAAATTTTGTCATTATTTATCTGTTATCTAATTGTTAAAGTTGTCCTTAAATATTTTGATATTTTCGAAATTATAATAATTCTCTATTGAAGATTATTATTCTTCTCTCAACGGTTGAAGATTATTATTCTACGCGGCTAAACGTCCTTTATGACCTCGATTAATCCATTTATGCATACTTATGCAGAATATGTAATTTATTAATAGAGTTTTTTTCCTTTACATCCTGTGTACATGATTTCGCTGCAGATATAGAATACTTTTTCAACATTATCGCAATGATTCAATTTTCACAGTTGTTTCGTCTTACAATTAATCCTCGCGTAAATATGCTTCTTGTGCGCTCTTTTTATAACGCATTCACCAGCATTCATTTTGTTTTTGAGATATTAATTTCGCTATCACAATTGAATTGACATATTAATGATATTATCAATAACTTATTTGTTTCCGCAATTCCGATATACCTCGGATTGAATTCCGAAATTATTGTTGCATTATTATCTAACAATATAAAATTTATACAGAAAAATCTTTTATTATATTACCTTTTCGTTGCATAATAAAAGTAAAAGTTTGTTGAATAAATTTTTTATTTGATCGTTTGCAATCCACATTTCAAAATAGTCAACACTTTAATTTCAATTATAAAAGCTATTCAAAATAGAAATATATATTTAACTAACTCGATGTTCTCTGTGTATCTTTTCTATAATCATATACTTGCAGAATCAGCATTATCGTTATCTAGCTTTTATACATTAAAATAAAAGACTATGTCCAGTTTGGGCCTGCCAGTGAACAGTTATGAGTCATATGTATATTAATCGATAGGAGAGTACTTATACAAAGTACGAAACAGAAAGTTTTAATTGTCTAGTGGACGTGCGTATGTGTGTCATAACAAAATATAAGCAATACTTACAATTAGAGTTAAACATACTTCATTTTGTTCTTTATTGTCATACTTTATTTCGTTCCTCATTCTATTTATCGAAAATTGAAATCTAATGCGGATTTCAAACGCGGTATAGAACGATTAAATAGCATGATCAAGTTATTAAATTGAAAATAAACTCCGTGATTCATCAGTCGTTTAATAAATGATTAATTTATGCATCAAATTGTGCTTGTTTAATTTAATGAACTATCCATATACATATAACATAGTATATAAAATATTTCGACAATACTTATTGTTAGAATCAAATGTTTTTCTCTCTTTTTTTATTGTTTAATATTCCCTATTTTTTTAATGTAACTCAAATTACGAACTTTTAATTTCAAACTCGAATGTTCTTAATTTGATCGTCATTATACAAAATTTATATTTCTTTATATTTGTAGAATAAAATTATTCTTACGCGTGTGTTATCGATTAATTGCCATTTAAAATTAATTTTTATATTTACAAATATTAAAATAACTAAAACTAAAATTTAATATAATATATTGCAGAATTAGTACAACTAAATATGTTTATTTTATTTTTTTGGTCAAACTATCGCCAGTAGAAAATTTAACAAACGTTCTTTGTTTTCATTGAATATGTAAAAGTAAATGTGCATAATTTTATAGTAAACAGTGTGTATGTGTGTGCGTGTATTTTCTCGCAAAGCTATCGACGACTCGTCGTCCTCGACAGTTTCATTTCTTCTCTCGTACAAGCATATGTTCTTCGTTTCTTTCAAAATAAGACGTCAAAACAAAATATAGTGATAAATTACGCTTTATTGAAACTAGCGAGATAATTAAAATCCGCGTAATCATTTACGTTATCAGTGTTAAAATAAAATCAGATCAATATTTCGAAATTTTGTTAAGAAACTCAAAAGAAAGATAATTCGACTTTATAATATGTGTATAATTTGCACTTAATATCTTTTTCAATTAATAACATTAGTATAAAAGCCTGGATATATATCATTTTAATATAAAATTTTTAAATGATTAAAAATTCGAAATCTAAAGGAGAAATAATGAATTAACAAGCTTAACTGATTTAATAATCTAAACACTCTGAGATAAATCTTTATGTAAAATAATGTTTAAAAAAAATTTGGCGTTTTTGTGTTACGGGTTTTTTATCCTTACAATTTCATCGAAATCTCAGCAATATTACACCAGCAACAATGAAGAAAAAGATCATAATTTGACAGTACAATACAATATAGAAACGGATTCTACAACAATTTATAATGATGAGATAAAAACACTGCAATATAATTTGTATGAAAAATTTATCAACAGACCGCGATATGGAATACACGATGAATTACGCATTATTTTAACGAATAATGATCTTAAGGATGTTGATTCGATATTATATAAACTAAGCAGGCGTTCTGTTCACAATCATGAGGATGATAACAAAGTACCGATGAACTCTCACACCAATTGGACAAATGTCAATCATAAAAAAACTTTACGTCAGAGGATGTTTATGAAAACATTTTTGAAAAGAGTGATTTCATGTCAAATAAAGTCTTTGAAGATTTTAATAAATACAATAATGAAAGTAACGTCATCCCATACGAAATGTGCCATAATAATACTTGCATTTTGCTCTGTTGTCCTCTTGGTTATAGCATGAGATTGAATGACAACAAATGCATTCCCCAAGAAATTAAATACGTTTTTCCGAATGTATACGAATACATAAACAATTCAATACAAAACAAAAATAAAAGAGTGGACGAATTTTTTCAATTAGCCGTCCACGATTCGTGTCTAGAAACACTACGTGTTATGGTAGACGAGGGTCATGAGCATGATTATAAGATTTTTACCAATGGTTCTATTTATTTATCTTATTATAAAACATTATTTAAATCGACATCATATTGTCTCGGCGTCTTCTTGGAACGGGGAAATAAGTTTGAAGTGTCTTTCTGTTCAGAAATTTTAGATGAAGTCATCAAGAACGCGATGGACACACCTGAGGTCCGCTCAGTATTCCGAGCATTTAAGATATATGCAGGCTCGCAGATAGTGTGCATATTATTTTTGTTTGCAATATTTCTAGTGTATTCCATATTGCCAGAACTCCGACATGTACACGGCTTTTTGTTGCGCAATTACAGCGCAGTTGCAACTATCGCAACTATAGTTAACATTGCGAAAGTTATGCATTTCAAAACGGAAATACCGTATCCCGTCTGCATTACACTTGGTACAGTATATCTCTCAATACATTATATAACTATATGCAATCAATGCAGCGTATACTTGAAATAATATATTATCCGTGTGTATACTAAATTATATATGTAAATGCAATCAATGCAGCGTATATACTCAAGCATAATGTATATTTGCATATTAATTTATTGTTATAATTTAAATAAATAATTTGTCAAAAATGTAACAATTATAAATTAAATTAAAGTTTAATGCATTTTAATTAGAACTAATCTCAATTCGCCTGAATATACATATATATACAATATATATGTAAGTGCATCTTTTTAATTTTAACAGGCAAATATTTGGAAATCACGGGGATATAGAGAAAAAATTGTTTTATACAAAATTGTAGGGTTCAAAGGGGGACATAAGGTGATGCAATCGATTTGACCTGGGATAGTTATTTGAAGGTCATGTAAAGGTCACCTTTAATTTCCTAAATAAATCTATCTATCTTTTATTATATATTCTTGTAGGTTATCTCAAGAGCTTTCCAAAACCGTATAATAAAATATTTCATGGAGTATTTTTTGAGTTATATTAGAAGTTAATACTTTTTTTACATAAAATGTAAAATACCTTGTAAAAAATTCAGTTTTGATAATATTATTATATACCTTAATACTTTTATACACAGAATAATGGGACCAATCAATTGGTACAAAGAAAACAGATAACTGTTTACAAAAAATGTAATTTGTAACATGCAGTTGCATACTTTTTCCTAAAAGCAACTATGTATTTTTTTCAATTGATTGGTTACATTATTCCGTGCATAATAGTATTAAAATAAATTGATCAAAAATTGAATATTTTACAAGATATTTTACATTTTATGTAAAAAATTAATAGTATAAAATAATAGTATTAAAATAAAATTATCAAAAATTGAATATTTTACAAGGTATTTTACATTTTATGTAAAAAAATTATGAACTATAAATCCTATAAATAAAAAAATACTTTATTATAGTATTTTGTAAAGCTCTAGAGATAAGCTATAAGAATATCAAATGAAAAATGGATAGTTCCATTTAAGAAATTAAAGGTGACCTTTACATGACCTTCAAATGACTATCGAAAATCAAATCAACGACACCATCTTATGTCCCCCTCTGAGCCCTACAACTTTTGTATATAAAACATTTTTTTCTATAACTCTGTGATTTCAAAATATTTGCCTGTAAAGATTAAAAAGACTCACCCTGTATAGCGCTTTAAAATTTCGCTCCGTTTAAATTAAAATAATATTTAATTTAATATTAATAGTATCAATGTTTATCACTAAATTGTTATAAATTGTGAGTGCAAAAAAAAATTATAAATATAGAGGCAAAAACGTAAAAATTTTGCGATACTGTATTTTAACGCACGTTCAAATTAAAATATTATTTTTCATTATAGCCTTTATTTTTACTCATTTTGCAGCCTTCTTGGAATATTTCTTTTTAATGTCGGGTTTCTTCTGGCTAAGTGCCATGAGCTTTAATATATGGTGGACATTCAGGTAAATTGTCAAGTATTTAATATTATATTTTATATTTATATTTCACTTGCTGTTCATTTTAATTTGTCTTTACAGGATTGCTTTGTAGTATTATAAAAAGAAAAATTTTGTTAAAATTATGTAAACTTTTAAAAGTAAAAATATAGTTTAATAGGGTAGAGCGAGATTAGTTGAGCATAGGAGCAAATTGGGCAATGTCTATTACTCGGCATGCATTGCGCATAGAGGAATGAACCTGCGTGAGCAAGAACGTGAAGATCTCTTCGCAAATTGTTCAGTTGCAACAAGTTTCGTGAGGTAGACGCACACACGCTTTATTCATTTTTAGGTACTCAAAGTAACATTATTATTTAAGTTTATTAGTCCCAACAAAAACAACTCGAATAAAATTGAAATAAGTAATTTTAATATTTGTTATTATTATATTTTCTAATGCTATTATTCAAATTATATTTTTTAAAATAGTTTTTAAGTTACAAGGACATATTTTGAAAATCATATAGATGGGATTAATTGGGACAAGTGGCCCAATTTACCCCAATACTAGTAGCTTTATACGAAATGTTAATTTTGCTGTTATTTATTTTAAAATGCGTACATATAAACAAAAAACTAACAGATTTTTATTTTAAATTAAACAATTGTTTTATTTTTTTGTTTTGAAGTTATGTGACAATGTTATATTTCATTGATTTGAAAAAAATATGAAACATTGTCAAATTTGACAATATTTTATACAAGGAGTTCTATAGCAAACCTTTTAATGGCAGATTCCTGGGATTTTTTCAATGAAAATGTCAAAACATCAATAATTTTCGAGTTATAAGCGATTAAAAATAAGGGGTTTTTTACAAACTAAATGGAAATACAATATTAACAAAATCACATTCTTTTATTAATTTCATGTAGAGTTTATTTTAATAGTATATTAGCTAACAAGTGCGGGGAATCGTAAATCGGCCGAGAGTGCGGAAGTTTGGTGCACGAGGCGAAGCCGAGTGTGACAATCCGCACGACCGATTTATGACCCGCACATGTTGGCTACGATATTTTGTGTGACCGGTGCGTGGAAAGGGAGTCCTTTCTAAAATCCCATTATGTGCGGAAAAGGCGACTTTTCGCGCGCCGGTTGCACAAAAGAATTTTAATTTAAGGCTAAATTACAAAGATACACGATGGCAAAAATTGAAAACATGCAAAAAATTATTGTCTCTCTCGACATTTTCACCGAGGAAAAATCATCTACAAATGATCCCAGGAATCTGCCATTAAAAAATTTGTTATTAATTTTGGAACATCCTGTAAAATCTTATTAAAGTTCAGTAATGTTTCATAATTCATTTTGAGTATTTCTTGTTGTTCACCTCCTTGCCCAACATACCTCACACGTTGGCTCAACCTATCCCGCTAGTGGGAAACATTGGGTCACTCTGACAATCTTTATTTAAAATTAATTTTTTTTTAAATAATGAGATGCAATTTAATTCGACCGAAAACTGGTTATTTATTTATTCAAAATAAGTACACACTACGTTTTGACCAACATTGTGATTTTTATCAAGTGTTGTTCTTATATATTCAGCAATTACATTAATTAAAGATAGAAACGTGAAAGTTCTCCTGTCATATCGACAGTCTGTTAGCTACTGTGTGTATAGTAGCTAACAGACTGTCGATGTGACAAGAGAACTTTCAAGTTTCTATCTTTAATTGATGTAATTGCTGAATAAGAACGACACTTGATAAGAACCACAATGTTGGTCAAAACGTAGTGTGTACTTATTTTGAATAAATGAGTAGCCAGTTTTTGGTCGAATTAAATTGCATCTCATTATTTGTTAAAATTTGTCACTGGCGATCAACAATTATTTGTGAAGAATTTTTAATTTTTTCTGTTCTCCATGTATATTTAAAATTTTTGCATGCATAATTAAAAACCTGAATGTCGAATCTCTTATTTAGTACTATATTTATAATCATATTATAAATAGATCAATTTTTATAAGACTTCAAAGAAAAAGTTGCTCAATTAGCTCCGCTCTACCTTACGCGATAACGTAACAAACTTTTCTTGACTTTTTCTTACAAGCTTGATATTTATAACGCTGTGATCTTTCTTTTTTTATATATAAAATAAGGCCACCTCGATAATTTTTTAACATAAATACATTTTTTGTTTCTGAAAAGTAAATAAAAATTTAGATTATCTTTGTCTGTAGAATATTTATGTAAATATATAATAGCCTCTAAATATTATACTATTTCTTATGATAATTGAGTGATATGTGTCGTCTGTTGTATTATGTAAACGTATTTTTATAATAACGTAGAATGGATTTTCGAGAAAGCCTCGATCAAAAAGACGAACATTAATTTAACCCTTTTACATCGAGATTTCTTTCATCTATACTTATTGTTAGTTAAATATGACATGTAAATTACAGAAGCTTCTGTTCATTACAAGAAAACATCAGACAATCAGAGAAAAAGAAGTTGATGTATTATGTGATTTTTGCGTACGGTGGTCCGTTTATACTTGCTATTGTTTGTGTGATCGTCATAGATTTCGTTTCCGAGTATTTACCAATAAATTTGAGACCAGAATTTAAATTAGGAAATTGCTGGTATTTTGGTGAACGTACGTCTCAGATAAATCTATTAATGCCGTATTTTAATGTAGTGTGCAAAACAATATAAAATTTTAAAACCTATCATACTTATAGGTAAGGAAGCGTTTGTGTTGTATTTTTATGGGATGAAAAGTGTCTGTATCATTAGTACCATTTGTTTATTTATCTCTACGGTACTGAAGGTCAGACGTTACGAAAAGGATACAGGCTTTTGTCTAACAGATTCGAAAAGCGAGCGGTATAATGACTATAAGAAATGGTGCGTATATTTTGACATTTTTGTTTTGTTATGTAATAATCTTTTAATTTGTTAATGAGATTTATGCAGATATATTTTTGTCAATATCTTTGCTGATAACATCATATACTCGATTGATCCACTTTCAGATGAAAGAAAGATGATTATTTGAAAGGAATACATTTTCAATGTATTAATTTTTTTCTTTCTAGTTTCTTTTCTTTTTTTTTCATATAATTACATAATTTTTTAAGAAATGAAAAACATTTATTGTTGTAATTAGTATCGTGTTTTTTCGAAAGTCTGTAATTCTCGAAATTTTGCTAATAGTGAGCATAAAGTTAATATTTGGTTCATAAGAAATTACACTTTTAAAATACATTTAAATTACACGTTTAAAAAAAATTTTTAAACAACAATTTTTCTTTTTTCTTTTTTAAAGATTATTACTTATTTTATTATTTTTCTCAGAAATAACTTGATATATAAAATTAATTATATTTATTGAAAAATACGTAAATATTAATATATATTTGTTTGCAGGTTTAATTTATATATGAAGTTATTTATCGTGATGTTTATCGCGATGGGCATAAATTGGATTGTGCTTACAATGTCATGGTTGTTTGAAAAATTAATAACCTATTACTTATTTTATGTTACTGCTTTGTTAGACGTTGTGCAGAGTTTTTGTATCTTTATTATATTTGTATGGAATAAGAAAATCAAATTGATGTTACTGAAACGATTCGGATTCAAAACAAATGTAAGCAACATCGAGCACTTGACTATCACGTCAGAGGTGTCTATGCAGGAAAAGAGGAGTTCTTCCGCACAAGAAAACTATTACACGAAAGATTTGTCCGTTGGGATTAAACTCTAATGTTGCAATGTGTAAAGAAATATTGCAAATCAGGAACCAACGATTAATCACAATTTGATATAATTTTATAATTTTCTAATAAAAAATAACTTTAAAGTATTAGATATTGATGGTTACGCTTCTTCAAATAATTTAATTTAAAATTTTACATATAAAATTTATCTTATAGACACATAGAGAGTTGTATTTCAATATGATTTCATAATTAGTTAGATAAAGATGAGATAAAAATATGTACATTTATTTTAGATAAAATAAAAATGTTTTTAAATGTATTACAACAATAATTTTGACACTATATATATTTAAAAAATGATTTTGTTTAAAATATATATAGATAAAAGAAAATTATATAACGATTCATCTAACTTCTAGATAATATTATTTTTAAGACTGCTTATGTATATTAACACAGTTACAAAAAAATGTAAATTATAAAGGTTATAAATTATAAATATAAATAATTATAAACTTGGCAAACTTGATTTCGACGTAACTAGCAATTTTATTCAATACTTTCACGAAAATTCTATAACATAATATTACACAATAGTTTTTACCAATGTTGAAACATACAAGAACATATTTAAATGTTAAGTTAATAATATAAATATAAATTTTATAAACATACCCATCAATTAAAATGAGATTAACGCAACATAACACCTGTCTTATTTAAAATTAATAGTTAAAAGAGGAACACGTCCCATCGCTATGATGTTTCGTCAACGACTAAATTTAAAACGCAACACTAAACAATCTTTATTATTTTGTCATAAATATTTGTCAGATTATCAGTGTCTTTCTGTAGGTTAACAGTATTATCATACTTCTCTATGAAGAACATTTCAGCAATCTCTCTCTTTCTTATATGTTTCTCATTATGTAAAATGGTCGGTGATTTCCAATCAACGTCATGTCCAAAATCACATCTGTGTTTACTCAAAATCGAATGATTAGACTCATGTAATTTAATATTGCTAGCATGAAAACCCAGATAGCCAATTGATATCAGAAAGAATTCTTAAAGTTTTCTTCTTCAAGATTTGGACATCCAAAAATTGGTTTCGAAAGCCAACATAAGGAGATCAGAAAGAGCTCTTATGCGTCGTATTTAGAGAAAAAAAAGATTTCTTCTGACAGTCATCGAAAAGATGATTTTTTTGAGATATCTTGTAATAGAAATCAAAAAGATTACTTTTTTGAGATATCTCGTAATAGAAATCAAAAAGATATATTAAATTAGATCTTTTTAGAAGTTTATGTTGATGATGCCAATAAAACTTATTCTAAAACATTCGAGACACAAAAAAAATGTTTTTAATAAAATATTTAGCAAAATTCCTAAAAGGGGTTTTTTGATGAAAGACAAGAGACAATTTTTTCCTTCATATTATATTCATCCTTTATTCTCATATACGAGGTGTGTTCAAAAAGTATCGCAAATTTTGAATTTCCGCGGGTTACGTATATTCGATTTTCGATTTTTTTGTGGCGTTATGTTGGTACTCATGTTTCTCATTTATGCCGACAAGTACGGCCATTTTGAATGTTTAGTTAATTTTTGACAGCTGCTTTGCTTGCACGTGTTTTGGCTCGTCTTCGATTTTTGCCTATTCCAAAAAATGGATCAAAGAATCTGTATCAAATTTTGTGTGTTGTGAACCCATGATTCGTCACCAGTTATGACCCTCTGGAGCAAATTTGGGTAGTCGCGGACAGAGTCCAACATCTCCTGAGCAATGTTAATGCGATGCTGTTTTTGGTCGAAATTGAGCAATTTTGGTACAAATTTCGCGGCGACCCGTGTCATGCCCAAATCATTGGTAAAAATCGAATGGCACGAGCCAATCGATATGTTTAGGTTCTCAGCAACTTCTCTAACGGTGATTCGACGATTGACCAATACTATTTTCTTCACTTCATCAATGTTTTCGTCTGTTGTTGACGTGCTCGGGCGTCCGGCACGCTCTTCGTCGTTCACATCTTCTCGGCCCTCGGAAAACATTTTGTACCACCGATAAACGTTGCTTCGGTCCAAGGTAGCTTCACCATATGCCACAGTCAACATTCGGAATGCGTCCGCGCACTTAATTTTGTTTTTCACACAAAATTTGATACAGATTCTTTGATCCATTTTTTGGAATAGGCAAAAATCGAAGACGAGCCAAAACACGTGCAAGCAAAGCATCTGTCAAAAATTAACTGAACATTCAAAATGGCCGTACTTGTCGGCATAAATGAGAAACATGAGTACCAACATAACGCCACAAAAAAATCGAAAATCGAATATACGTAACCCGCGGAAATTCAAAATTCGCGATACTTTTTGAACACACCTCGTATTTCTCTTCCGAGAGTTTATTTGCTAAATATTTTAGCAGGGATTTTGAATATGTTGAGAGTAAATATTGAAGCTTAAAGGAAAATTCTTATTAATATGAGAAATATTCACAAACAAAAATATACGATAATATTATATATATGCCTATTTAGGGGTTACTATATATACATCTACATACATACATATATATATATATATATATATGTGTGTGTGTGTGTGTGTGTATTTTGAATACTAAAATACAAATATAAACTTTTTTAAACATTATATATTTATATTAATATATAAAATATAATATAATATATTTTTATAATATAAAATGCTTTTTATGATTTTTAATTAACTATAATAATTAAAAAATTTATTGAACTTTAAATGATTTGATTAAATAAAAAAAATATTAATTTATAATAAAATAAACATTTTTAATATATATTTATAGATTAATATATATTAAATTAAAATCGTAAATATAATAAAACTTTAATAGAAATAAAAATGTGAAGAAGAAAAATAAACTATTATGAAAAAAATAATAATATTAAAATAAAATATTATGAAATAGAAAAAATAATATAAATTTTTATGCCAAAATTTTAAAATTATATTTGAGCGTGTTTTTTTCTATATAACGAACTCGATCACTTGCATGTTGTAGCCATTTTTGAATTGTATCTTGTACGTCAAAGATTGTACAATTACGCCCGGAATTGATCATAGTCTCTGAAACTAAAAATTATATAGTTAGAAAATAAGTATACAATTAAAATATATTCATACTAACACTTCATGATTGGCAATTTTTATGAGATTCATCAAGGAATTTGTTATTGTAATTCATGAATAAAGAATATTATTATATGTATATTGTCGTATATAAGCTTGTGTAATAATTTTAGTTTTAAAATAAACTACATAAATACTTTTTAACAAATGGTATTTGTAAAAATGAAAAAAGTTACAATAAAAACAGGAAATAAATTTTTTAACGTTAAATTTTTAAAACTTTAATGATAACGTTTATTAATATTACTACTCTATGTTAAACAACTGTGGTTATTTTAGACATTATCACATCTACTACTAATTTTATTGTTATTAATGTATACTGATTTTATTTTTATTATTTTTATTACTTTTATTTTATTATTTTTATTACTTTAATTACTATTATTTTATTATTTAATAAATAAAATAATAATAATATAATTCAAAGAAAAATATAAAAGTGTATATATGACAATTATTATGTCCACAAACTTCATATCTCTTACTTTAATAGTTTTTTTCTGTCCTGTTCATGATAATTTACATGACAATTCATTATTTAATATTAATGTCAAAGCTTGTCGAACATGTTTTTTAACATCTTTACCACCAATATTTTTAATTATTTTTTTCTGAAAAATAATACAATAAATGTTTGTATTATTATATAATAAAAAACAGTAAATTATAGACCTTAAATCAAAATGGTTAGTAAATTGTAGTAAAACAGCTTTTATGTTTATTTAAAAAAAATAACAAATAATAAATTGTAGATATATTTCTTATACAGATAAATAAATAAATAGTAAGATAGATATACATATAGATTAGATAATCAACGTAATTAAAAATTATACATAATTATGAGCATTTTTTTTATATTGTAAAATTAAAAACAAATCTTTAAAAAAATTTAGAAACGATAATACATAAAATACTTACATATTGTGCACGAGCTATTGCATCTTTTCTTAACAATTTATTAAAATTTTCTAATTCTTGAACTGTAACAATCGGAAATTGTGGTAATATATTTTCATTATTTCGCTGCGGTTCATTACTATAGAAATCTATTAAATGCATTTCAATAGAGTTTATTTTATGCAAAATAACTTGCATATTATGACGGCATGTTTCTGCAAATAGAAACGTGGTGTTAATCAGTTAACTTGGGTAAGTTAATATATTTCGATTACAGTTTACGGACTAGTCTCTCGTATTCTTGATAAAATATCCAGTCCTATAATTTCTATGTGTATAAATACATTATATATATTATTATGAATATTTTGTATCTCATATTCTTTGTTGATATTATAAAATTAATTTATAATAAATGCAATTTGATCATATGTTAAACATTTTTGGTTATGTTAACTTTGGAGTCGGTTATATTATCAAAAAATTGGTTTTATATTCATTACTTTAATATTTTATATCTTGTATTTTTTGTAGCATTTATTGTTTAATTAATATTTACATCATAAACTTACCTGAATCATAAAGCAATCGACAACACACGATTATTATACGTTAATTGTAGCTGCATATAAAGAACACGTGAAAGCACTGAGTATATACTATACACTGACACTGGAACACAATATACATATTAATATAATGCGCAAGCGCGCGAATAAATCTAAAATACATCATATACAAGATAACGTTCTGTTGTCTTCAATAAAAAATCCATAAAATTAGCTGAAAAAAGATTTCTTACTGATCTCGTAAAATAATTTCTCAAACAAGATATCTTAAAGAAATCTTATAATAGACTTCTACAAATTTAAATCTATTAGAAATTATATTGAGAGCTCGGAAAGCAATCTTTGATAATATTTCTAATTGACATGTCTTTCTGACATTCGTGCTATCTGGGAAGACATTTATGCACTAGAGTAAATGAACATGCTAGCAATATTAAATTACATGAGTCTAATCATTCGGTTTTGAGTAAACAGATGTGATTTTGGACATGACTTTGATTGGAAATCACCGACTATTTTACATAATGAGAAACATGTAAGAAAGAGAGAGATTGCTGAAATGTTCTTCATAAAGAAGCATGATAATACTGTTAACCTACAGAAAGACACTGATAATTTGACAAATATTTACGACAAAATAATAAAGATTGTTTAGTGTTGCGTTTCAAATTTAGTCGTTGACGAAACATTATAGCGATGGGACGTGTTCCTCTTTTAACTATTAATTTTAAATAAGACAGGTGTTATGTTGCGTTAATCTCATTTTAATTGATGGGTATGTTTATAAAATTTATATTAATATTATTAATAATAAGAATATTTTTAAGTCAGCTCTTTAATTTTTAAACAACAATCTACACTTCATTCCTCTCGACTAAAGAGCTAAACGCGATGTTATTGCGACAATTAAGAAAGAAAGAAAATTTGGAAACTAAGGAATTTGAATCCTATGGTTGGGATTTCAGAAATTCCCCTTGTTCTTTCTCTTAACATCCCCTGTAAAGAAATAGGCGAGAAAAATATTGGTCCGAAAGTCGGCTGGAATAGGGAATCGAACCCGAGACCTTCCGCTTGCCGGGCGACTGCTCTTCCAGCTGAGCTATTCAGACACTTACAAATCAATATTTCTCTCAATGTTTATACCCCCCACCCCCCACCAAGGCGTCGTAATTAGGTCCAAACGCGACGGCAAGCGGAAGGTCTCGGGTTCGATTCCCGATTCAGCCGACTTTCGGACCAATATTTTTCTCGCCTATTTCTTTACAGGGGATGTTAAGAGAAGGAACAAGGGGAATTTCTGAGATCCCAACCATATGATTCAAATTCCTTAGTTTCCAAATTTTCTTTCTTTCTTAAGGGGATGCCGGAGAGACGGCCGAATTTCGCTAGGTTAGCACCACACATATCTAAACATATGCACGTATACACATATACACATGATAGGTTAGCACCACACATGTCTAAACATATGCACGTATACAACACATATGCGTGAAAATTTTCTGCACCGTTTTCTTATTTATTAGGCTTTTAAACTTATATCTAAAAATATACTAATTCTTCTTCATTCAATTTCTAGTCGGAACCTATCTTATTTTGTACGTACAAACAGCAGAACTTTTATATTAAACAATTATTTTTTTTGACCTGACGACAGAAGTCGATAAAGAAATTTTAGTTTTTAAATTTTTTTTGTTTTTAACATAAAATCAGTAGGTTCCCACTTTGTTTCTGTACGTGTTTTAATTGTGGAAAAGCATTTATTATTTTATTAAACCAATAAAAAGATTTTGGTGCAGAAAAATCTATAATCATCTGATCGATAAAACAAACATCCGGCATCCCTTTCATTGTCGCAATAACATCGCGTTTGGCTCTTTAGTCGAGAGGAATGAAGTGTAGATTGTGGTTTATATTATTAACTTAACATTTAAATATGTTCTTGTATGTTTCAACATTAGTAAAAACTATTGTGTAATATTATGTTATAGAATTTTCACTTGATCAGAACCACAACCAAATGGTCGAAACGTCGTGAAAGTATTGAATAAAATTGCTAGTTACGTCGAAATCAAGTTTGCCAAGTTTATTTTCACCACTAGCGTCCAATATTAATTTTGATTGATAAATAATTATATAATGCATTCATATTTTAATTTATAATTTTTATCATATATTGCTTAAGTTATACTGCGTAAGTATTTTTGTGGTATGACATTAAAGACGTAGAAAATATAGATGTTTATCTTACGTTTTGTCAGAAATTTGTGTGCCAAAATTAGAAAAAGAAATCAATGTCTATGATCCCCCTTTATTTTTTCATTCGAGAGACAAAACCATATTTCCATTTTTATTTCTTTTTCTAATTTTGGCGTAAAAATTGTTCAATATCCGCAATCTATATTTCCTACATCTATTGGTTTGACCCTAAATCAAATTATCTGAACATTATTCTAAATAATTTAGTAAATATAACACTGTTTTTTATTTAAGATGCAGTTATAGATAATACATATTTTTTATATGTATACATATATAAAGATAAGATGACGCCAAAACTTTATCTAGTATATATGTACTGATACTGAGTATATATGTACACATCATTGAAAAAAATCAATGATTTTAATCTTTTAAAAATTTTTCTTTAAAAAAAATGTATGTAAAAGCTATACAATATATAGCGCGTTACTATTATTATATTTATAGGAGATGCTCGCTTAGAATAAGAAATTATAATAAATTCGATTCTTGTTCTGCTCTCCATTGTTAACATTTATTCAAAGTTTTTCTTGTTATACAAAATATTATTAAATTTCTTTAGATAATTTGGATTTCGTTTACGACATAAGTTTTCCTTGTTACACAAAATATTATTAAATTTCTTTAGATAATTTGGATTTTGTTTCCGACGGATCTCTGTCTGGGTAGCTACGTTTTGATACCTTCTTTTTGGCCACTCTCTGGAGAGATACGAGGTGGTTTCCTCCACGGGATAGTTGAGAAGGTCTCCTCCGGATGCTGAGGACTCACTTTTAGTAATCCGCCGAGGGGACTGGCGTTGAGTTCTAATTGAAGGTCCTCCTCGGAGTAAATAGAACAGTTGTTTCGGTGTCTGTTCTCCTGATCGTTGGCCGTGGGCTGATTTCGGCGTCCGTATGCCAGGTGGCTGGCTTCTGACCGACTCCGGCGTTTCTACGTTAGAAGATCGGTTGGGAGAAGGCTTCGGCATCTGTATGTCAGGAAGCTTACTTCTGATCAGCTTCAGCGTCTCTACGCAAGGAGATCTGTTGGAAGAAGGTTCCGGCGTCTGCACGCCAGGAAGCTGGCTGCTGATTGGCTCCGACGTTTGCACGCCAGGAAGCCAGCTAGTGGTTCGAATTCGCGATTTCTCTGGAATCCGGATGATGGACCCTAATCTCGGGAGATTTCGTGGCGACGAGCAAGCTTGGTCCTGAAAAGGACCTGAAGCTACTGCCTCAACGTATTTTGATGAACTGGCTTCTGATCGGTTCTTTTTCACCGCTTTATGTAGCGGGAGAGGACGGGTTCGCTTTCGGACGGTCAAGTCTTCTGATGGCGTAATTCGCAAACAAATTGTCCAACGCAAGTTCTTTTTACTTTTTCAAACGTCGGCCGCCATGGAAAAGCCATGGAGAAGATTAGGTAATTAATTCTCCGCGGAGGATCTTCTTTTATGTTTGCGTGGGAAGATTTCTCATGAGGAATCTTCTCCCGCTCTGTGCCGCTTAGCGACGTTCGATACATGTTTTATTACACCGCGGGAGATCTTCCTATATGCTTGCACGGGAGGATTTCAACTATGGACTGCTTTTTCACGGCGCTCAGTACTTCGCGCATTCCGCTTTATAATATATGTGTGGCATATGCCGCCACAAATATTTCGCTGTATTATGACAAAAAATTCTGATTCACGTAAATAACATAAATCTCTAAAAACTCACCTTTAAGAAAAGGTAAAAAAAGGCGACCAGTTAAGGGCACGCCGTTAACAAAAATTATCCATTGCAAACCCATGTAGAATCCTATTCTATTGCAAACCCATGTAGAATCCTATGAAAAATTAATCATTGCAAACCCATGTAGAATTCTAGGCAAAATTAACCATTGCAAACCCATGTAGAATCGTACCCATTGCAAACCTATGTGGAATCCTATGAAAAATTAACCATTGCAAACCCATGTAGAATCCTATGAAAAATTAACCATTGCAAACCCATGTAGAATTGTATTAAAAATTATCCATTGCAAACTTATGTAGAATCCTACATTGCAAACTCATGTACAATAGAATTGTATGAAAAATTATCGATTATAAACCCATGTACAATTGTAACAAAAGTAATGAAATAAAAAAAATTGCGCCATGTGAAAGTAGAAACTTGTACCAGTGGAAAATTAAAGTTGCAAACATATATAGAGTCGTATAATGAATCAGTAAAAATTTAAATTTGCAAATGTAGAATCGTACCATAAAAAAACTTATCTTTAAAAAAAAAAGATAAACAAGATGCCAAGTCCATGCGCCATGTAAAAAAATGTTAAACAAAAAAGTATTTTAAAATTAAAAAATCTATCAATTGACAAAAATTTATGTTCTAAAATTAATATCTCTACAAAAAGTAATGTCCAAAAATTGCACGAATAAATAAACATTTTTATAAAAAATTAAAATTGAAAAACTTATGCAAATTTAAAATTAATATAAAATAAAAAAAATAAAAAAATTTTAGTTAAAAAAACTGGGCGCGTTGCTAAGTTTCAAAATTACAATGCACCTTAAAGTAACATTAATTAATTTAAACACAAAACATATTTTAACTGCAATGAGTTTAAAAGTAACAATTTAATTTTAATATCATTAAAATATTATTTAGCAATATTAGAATATTAGGTATTTCTTTTAAATATATCGTCTATTTATACATTACAAATGATATTGAAATGTATAATTATAGTATATAAATAGATACAATAAAATGAAAAATTGTCAGTTCTTTCATATTTCAGGTTATCATTTTAAACATTTATGACAAATTTGACAAACAAATCTTATTTTTCTTATTAAATAAATTTAATTAATTAATTTATTTTTGTTTATTTTTATTTATTTTGTCATATAAATCAATTTTATTTGTATACGTATTCAAAATGAAGGTATTTAATTTATTTTTTAAAATGAAAACGTTCATCAAACATACAAGAAAAACTACGTACAAGAACTACTCAACAATATAATTATACATGTAAAGAATTTTATCTTAAGAATTACCCTAAAAATCATGATAATTGTGGCACAATATTAGAAAAATTTTATAAGTTCCTCGGAATTTCTAAAAAAATACCTTTTTTAAAAAAAAGGTAAAAAAAGGGCGCCAAGTTTACGCGTCATGTGTTAAAGTGTTTTATAAAAAATATAAAACTTTTATGTTGTAAAATTAATTATAAAAAATATAAAACTTTTATGTTGTAAAATTAATACTAATATGAACTATATATATTCAATTAACAAAATAGTATTTAATTGAACGATTTAATCAAGTTAAATACTATTTTTTTTCAATGTACTAAGTAAGTCGGATATTTCATATCTATTGTTGTTTTTCTCTCTCTCTGTTTTCTTCTATGCAAACGAGTAACACGTCGTTGTAATATAAGATCATATGATCAGAACATAAAAATGTAAATTAAAATCATAAGGTTATATAACTACATTATGCATTAATGTAACTCTATTGATAAAAAGTATGACAATAATAATCCTTGTTTTTTTCTTATTATTTACTCAGATTTTTTGTCTATCTTATAAGATAAACACTTTAGAGATTGAATATTTCAAGTAAACTAATTGTAAATAAATTTCACATTAATGCATATAGATGTTTAAATAGATGTTTATAATATTATAATTAAATAGATGTTAAAATAGATGTTTAATCACGAATGTACTAAATAAGTACACAAGACGAACAGTGAGTGAGTGAGTGAGTGAGTGAGAATAAGAGTGTGTGTGAGAGAGAGAGAGAGAGAGAGAGAGAGAGAGAGAGAGTTGCTGTTAATTAACGCGTCTAATAATTAATCTTATGTCTAATAAAAAATGACTAAAGAAAGAAGAAAAAAAGAAGAAAAAAGATTTTTCTGGAGAAATTGATAAAACTGCGATGCTGCGAGCAGAAATTTATAATTTGCAGAAGCAACTGTCAGATGTAATTGCAAATTCCTCCATTGCACCACAGACTTCCTCTACAGTAACATCATCTGCTCCGCAGACTACTTCTACGTCCACATTAGTTGCACCGTAGACTACCTCTACAGCCACATTATCTGCTCCGCAAACTACTTCTACATCCACATTAGCTGCACCGCAGACTACCTCTACAGCCACATTATCTGCTCTGCAGACTACTTCTATGTCTACGTTTGTTGCACCACAGACTACATCTACATCTGCTGCACCGCAAACTGCCTCTGCATCTACTTTAAAAGGACCATCTTTTACAGTAAATAATTTCGAAAAACGTCCACCAAGATTCTCGAAGGTTCTTCTCCACTATAAGAATAATAAAGAAATATAAAATATATATATAATATATATACATATATATATATATATATATATATATATATATACATTCTACAAAAAAGTAATGTCTAGATTACTATAAAAAGTTTTTTATTTATTAAAGTTCTTCATCTCTTACTTAAGATTTCTGATCTCCAATATATGCATTTCAAATTAATATAATTTATATTTGTTCAAATAATATTTATATTTCTAAAAAAGATTTGATGATATTTTGAAGTTTCTAACAATAAATAAAAATGATAAAATATACAATATTTTCCTTTTTTTTTTTTTATTTTTTGTATCTCCATTACTTATCAGCAAATGGAATATCGAATGTAGAATCCCATAAATTTTGGACTGAAAAACTGGGCATAATATGTCATCCTTGTTTGCATCTGTGGGACGGATTTTGCTTGTGGTTCTTCGATTAAATGATGATGCGGTATAGTTATTAAAATACTCCACCAAGTATACTTTCAATTCAACTGTCCATTTGATTGATCGAGTCATTCTAAGATCTTTCAGGATGACATTGCGAGGATAACGAGGGAAAAGTTGCTGAAACTAACAAAGAATATTTTTTTTGCTATTTTTGCTATATAGCTAACTAATATATACAAATTTTTTTTTATAAATTGAAGCTTAAGTACCTGTCTTGTCATAGTATCCATTTGGGAATTAGTATGTGCCAATGTAGAGATGTTACCACATACTCTATTATGCGACACATTGACAGAAAAACTAGGCAACCAAGATACATATCTTGAGCCATCAAGGAAAAGAAAGAAATAATTGCCATTTCTTCTCGTAGAAGTTTGTGACTCAGGCGGTATTTCTGTTATTCTCTCTGTGATTTGCTTGTATACTCAATCTGGTATATCCTCTCTGTGATTTGCTTGCATACTCAAGGCCAATCGACAAGTGAGACATGGTGTCCTGTTCTAACCAGGATTGCAAGCATGAATTGTGAAATAAGTATGCACAGAGCAACTTACAAGCGCTTTCCATCCTTTCCCAGCATATTACACAATTATCCATCTTTTCCCAGCATATTGCGCAATTATTTTATCAGAATTCTCGGCTAATTCCTCTTGTGAAGCCATTGGATAACTAAATGAAAAAGTTATCAAAAAAATCTTTAACAATTTGTTTTTTATATTATACATATAAAAATATAATAAAATAATTACCTGATTTTTATAAATTTCTTTTTCCATCACATATCACATCAAATCACATCATCACATCAAAATCAAAATACGTGCCTAGCCTAGCCAACATAACCTCGCACGCTGCCAATATGGCAGAGCGCCACTATCGCCGTCTGTTGTAAAACGTGAGAATTGGACATTTCCAATACATGCATCTATTGCATGTGTTGTGTACGTGTGATATATGTGTGCGCATGTGTTGTATACGTGTGAATACGTGTAGCACGATACTACTATGTATGCGTGGTCGATGATGATAATGATAATGATGACGGGGACGTTTCTTAAAAGAAATTTTTCATATTTCGACTTTGCATTTATATATCTCTGCTTACAAATCACGTAGAGCAGAAATAAAGACATTTTTATTATATAATTCGAACTCAATCTATCGATTAAGTCTAGTATAAACTCGATTGCTTCAGCCGTTATTGAGGATTTGAAATATTATAAAGACTCAAATGTCCGACTCGCGTTAAGATACACGGTGTCTCGGCTACGCCCTTAACTGGTCGCGAGACACTACCGTGTCTCCTAATTATATATTATATTTATAAATATATGTATGCATATTACATAAAGTATAAGAGTAAATTTTTTTTCAACTGATGACATGATCAACAAATTAATTATAAAAAGTTTCTAACATGACCATTTAAATGTATCTATTGTTTAAAAATAGTATTTTTTTAAATACTGTAGCTGTGCTATCAAAAGCGCGTTTATACACACACACACACACACACACACACATTCAATGCCAGGAATATTTTACTATAATATTATGCACTATAATATTATGCTGGAGAGTAAATTCTTGAATTTATATATAGATACTTCGACATTATAAAATGTAGAACATCTGATTGTGATATGTATAAAAATATATTTAATATGTATAAAAAAGTTATAAATTTAAAAAACATGTAATATTACAAAAAATAAAAGTGTATAATATTAAAAAAACGACCAATACTGGACTACAAATGCTTTATTTCAATCAAAGTGTCATGACGTTTCAACCTGTGATTTAGGTCCTTCTCAAATGAGTTGAAAAATTATATATAATTGTGTACCATTACAATAAAATAAGATTTAAAGCAGCAACAAAAATTACGTACATACGTTATGAACATACGTTCATCGGTATGGACGGTACGTAAATGCTCTTTTCCATTATATCCTTCCTAACAAAACTTTTCCCGCATTTGTCGCATCAGTGATTATTTTCATAGTGGATGTGATTTAGGTGCCGAATCAGATTGGAAAATTTACTGAATTCCTTACAGCAGAAAGAGCACATGTACTCTGTTTTATCTTCGGTATCACAGAAGCAGTTCTGAAAGAAAAAAAAATTTATTACAAAGTTTACAAATCTTTGCTGTATCATTGATGGATGCAACCCTTTCGGTTTTGGATTGCTTGACATTATCTTCCAGACACGCATTAAATTTATTCACTTTGGCAGTGCATACCTTTGGGATGTCCTTCGTCTTTTTCGCGAAACTTGCGTAGGTCTGTCTAACAGTCGATACTTTATCATTTCTAGTTTTGTTTCTCTGCTTGCCATTTGATTCATCCGACAAATGCATTTTAAGAGAGAAGATACACTTTGAATTTTCGTCGAATAGTTTGTCTTTTCAGTTTATTAATTATTTTTATTAGTGTGTTTTTCGTCGAATATGGATTTTTATCTAATAAAGTATAAGAAAATAATCCTACTGGTCAACTGTCCAATGGCACAAAATCTATTTCCTTAATCTAAAAAATAAAAAGTTACATCAAACATTATGTCAAACTATATTAATATTACAAATCTTTATTATATTATATAGTATTTTATTAGTGGTGTTTTAATTTTTATTATGTAAAAAAAGTAATAAAAATCAAATTATGTTGTTCATGAAAAATTTGTTTTTGAGTAGGTAATTTTAAAAATATATTTTTTTATTAATCTATAAAAATTATTTTTCTTATTTAACATATGTGTGCGTATATTCTTCAAAATATATTTATTTTGATACAATTTTTTTACAAATTATCCTTCTCTTTAGTTAGAAAAAGTATGTTAACAACAAAAGTCCAAAATATATCCGATTCTCTTATCTTTTTTCTAAGATAAAATTTTACAAAGTTTTATTTGATTAAATTATTAGTTGACTTAGTTAAAAAAGAATTATGTTCCGTTGTATTTATGATATATTTATGTTAATTTTTTTAATATTGATTGATATTACATTACTATGAAAAAAGGACATAGCAGGATAAGCATACGAAGTGTATTCAAAAAGTATCGCGAATTTTGTGTTTTTTCAAAAATTATTTATTTATTCATGAATATCTATTTTGTCCCCTTCAAAGTAATCCCCACCACATATTATACACTTGTGCCAACGTTTTTTCCAATCCTCGAAGCACTTCAAAAAATCATTTTTTGTGATCTTGTTCAGCTCCTCCTTCGATGCCGTCTTTATCTCCTCAATCGTAGCGTAGCGTCGTCCTTTCATGGGCCTCTTCAGTTTCGGGAACAAGAAAAAGTCACAGGGGGCCAGATCTGGGGAATACGGTGGCTGTGGCATTATTAGTGTGTTGTTTTTGGCCAAAAATTCGCGCACAAGCAACGATGTGTGAGCAGGGGCGTTATCATGGTGCAAAAGCCAATTTTTGTTCTTCCACAAATCCGGGCGTTTCTGGCGGATTGCTTCGCGCAATTTGCGCATAACTTGCAGGTAATATTCCTTATTGACCGTTCTACCCTGTGGCAAGAACTCATGATGCACCACGCTCCTGCAATCGAAAAAACTGTAAGCAAAACTTTCACATTTGACCGAACTTGGCGCGCTTTTTTCGGTCTTGGCTCGTGCGGCAGCTTCCATTGGGATGATTGAGCTTTGGTTTCCACGTCATAACCATAAACCCATGATTCGTCACCAGTTATGACCCTCTGGAGCAAATTTGGGTAGTCGCGGACAGAGTCCAACATCTCCTTAGCAATGTTAATGCGATGCTGTTTTTGGTCGAAATTGAGCAATTTTGGTACAAATTTCGCGGCGACCCGTGTCATGCCCAAATCATTGGTAAAAATCAAATGGCACGAGCCAATCGATATGTTTAGGTTCTCAGCAACTTCTCTAACGGTGATTCGACGATTGACCAATACTATTTTCTTCACTTCATCAATGTTTTCGTCTGTTGTTGACGTGCTCGGGCGTCCGGCACGCTCTTCGTCGTTCACATCTTCTCGGCCCTCGGAAAACATTTTGTACCACCGATAAACGTTGCTTCGGTCCAAGGTAGCTTCACCATATGCCACAGTCAACATTCGGAATGCGTCCGCGCACTTAATTTTGTTTTTCACACAAAATTTGATACAGATTCTTTGATCCATTTTTTGGAATAGGCAAAAATCGAAGACGAGCCAAAACACGTGCAAGCAAAGCAGCTGTCAAAAATTAACTGAACATTCAAAATGGCCGTACTTGTCGGCATAAATGAGAAACATGAGTACCAACATAACGCCACAAAAAAATCGAAAATCGAATATACGTAACCCGCGGAAATTCAAAATTCGCGATACTTTTTGAACACTCCTTGTATATGTGCTGCCCCCGCTAGGATCTAGTTGAAATTTTTACAATAAGTTGACATGGATGTGAGATTAAATTTCCCAAAAGATTATATCTGAAAAAAATTTTTATGGGAGTCATGAGAGTAAGAAGAAAAATGGAAAAGATTTATTTTTTCAAAAACGACTGAACCGATTTTGATGAATAAAATATGTTATAGGTTTCAATGCTATAATGTTATTAAAAAAATACGGAATTTTTTTTCACAAAATACGAGTAAAAAAAATTGATAAAATATTTTTGAATTTTTTTATGGGATGCACTTGAAGCACTATCACCATTTTTTCTCTAAAAAATCTTTAAATACTCTAAAATAATGTGTTCGAGTTTCATAACGATCGGAAGAGTAATACATAGTTTTAAAAAATGAAGATCTTGAGTGCGTTGCGTGCGCCGTATGGCACGCTATACACTAAGCGCCATGAATGCCTTTCCATCTGAATTTGCGCGCAATACATATACGCATGCAAATTCAAATAAATTCAAGTGAGAAAGCATGGTAAATAGCTTCAGATAGCTTCAGGCATTCATGACGCTTAGTGTATAACAGGTATATGTAGCACTGTAGCATTCATTTTTTATCACGTCAATTATTCCTGCGATCTTCACTTGTTTCTTTTGCTGTTCAGTAAGTATTCTCATTGTTGACGTGTTGAGTTCTTTTGAGTTCTTTTTGTTGTATTGTGTTTTTCCTCATGTGCATTTTTTTCAGCTAAAAATACTTGCTTTGGATTTTTGTCATATTTAATTTGACTTGTCATAGCAAGAAATGTCTGTGACAAATAACAATCCTAAATATATTGGATGTAATAAGTTTTTATTTAAAGTACGTGAAGAAAAAAATTTAAACTAAAGATGAAGCAATGAATTTTTCTAACAAACTTCAACGAACAATTGTTGTTAATCATATCTTGTGTTCAAAATGTCAAGTTTTTCAATATAAAAAGGAGAAGTTTGATGTTGACTGCTTGATTTCTGAGAATGAGATCGATGAATCACAATCAACTAATAATCCAACAATAATTATTCGACTCGAATCTAAAGAAGAATCAAATATTGAGAGAATTGAAGTTCTAATTAAAAGAACTGTTTCAACTCATAAATACTGTTGTCTTTGTACTGCCACAACGAATCTCACAGTTATTCCAGAAGAAGCTCGAATGCAATTTTATATTAAGATGACAATACACATACCAGCAGGTAATCGATGCTGCCGAACTCACTTAATCAAGAATCGATTTTACGACAAAGATCTTGGTCTTTTAGAGATGTACTTTAATTTGTCAAGTCCTTCGGAATGATCGAGAATGATGGAAAATCTCGCAATCAAATGTGATTCCACCCTCTATGATAAGTTTGGAGATTATACTCTTTCCGAAAAGCAACTGCTTGTTTTCACAGGATTAAACTGGGAAAATATCATACTTTTGAAAAATATGACTTCAATGCGAAACAGACAGACACGTCAATCTGCTGTACG